TAAAAATCTTCGGTATTGCTACTTTTTAAAGGACGAATTCACGATGAAAAAGCAACCCATTTCAAATTAACCTAGGGATGGTGAGTGGTACACGAAAGAAGGAAGAACCATGAGAAACGGCCCAGAACCGAGAAATGGTACCCCTTCCTTGCCCGTTGATTCGAGCATTGATGCGACTCTCATCGCTGTGCCCTCTTCAACACTACGCTCTCTCAGCTATCTAATCACTCGCCACGTATTGAACTTTGGCGAATCCGTATGGGCGGAGATCGCCGGACCCGCCAGCTTTGAGGCATGATAGGTCGCCGAGGTCAAATTTTTCCATGCGAATTGCGCGTCAGTTCGCACCCTCAGGAGGTCCGTGGGTCCCTCAACTAGGTCAGTTTCCCTTTCTTCGACCTTCATTCTAATCGTGAATTCCTCCTTTAAAGCTTGGAATGATGAAATACGTGATGCAAGCAATTCATTATCCGAAGAAAATTCAAATAATCCCGTCCTTATTAGCCACTGCAAGGTCCTTTTCCCTTCGCCAAGGCCAACTACAACTTTGCAACGTTCAAAGAAATCGTTTCATTGGCAAAACTTGCAACGGAGTTTTCTGAGTGACAGGGGCGACTCATGGTGAAACTGGAATGGCTATGAAACATAGTGCCGCGCCTATACGACGAATGCCATCGATGTAATGGCGATCGTTCGGCCGGCAGTGGTGTCATGTAGAATGACTGATGTGTGGGAGATAACATCAAAACTGGCATCCAGGAAGTTTAGCTAATGATCCACTTGTGATGATGATTGAAGGGTCTGTCGTATAGCTCAGAGATCATGGGCGTTCCGATGTCAAAAGTGCCTCCGGATATGCATTTTAAAAAAATTGTCAAAGCGAAGCTGATTTGCGCTTTTCCCGCCAAGGGGACTGGAGGATGAGGCCACATAAGATCACGTTCACAGCAAAAAATTAATTCCGAAGAGAAAACAATATGTACCCTCGCCTTCAAATGACCAGAAATTGTGCAATTGCAGAAATTGACGTGGCATTAACGTGGCATCGATTCAAGAACATCTTTGAGCACACGTGATGTCACCTTTTCATCGAGAATTTAGCCACGTGTGCCACGTGGGTTTCTGGCTGCATGAAACAGAGTGTAGAAAAACGGAGCTATCGCAAGAAAAGGTGGCATCCTATAGGACAAGCCCAGGGGGTGCGGGGAACTTGGGTGGAGATGCAGACGGCTCAAAAACCCTGAAACCTCACCTCACCTTTGTAAAGTTACCTTGGTCCCATTCTCAACAAAACTGAGGAAGGTTTGCGGTGTTTCAATGTATTGCTACTACAATGTCCCCCTTATCTTGCGATAGCGCCGGGAAAACCTGAATCCTGAAACAATGCTGATACTTATGGTTAGGTTGTGGTTTCGATTACGTTGAACATCTAACAGGGAACCCGCTTTCGCTTTCGCGTTCAACTTGTTTACACGTGCTAGTTTCCCACTGTCAACAGTTTTGGAAGTTTACGACGAGAATTTGAATTGCTTGCAGTCTATACTCTGCTTCAGAAAAACAGAAGCGCGTCGAGTGCAGACCACACACCACAAGTGACGACGGCCTCCAAGTGAAATCTGGTAACTAGTGATTCATAGTGATAGCTGATAGTTGGTAAATGAGAGCTGACAAGTGATAGAATGCAACCGCAACAGGCTGATCATTGCATTTTGTGGAGGCCGCCGTCACTTGCGGTGTGTGGTCTTCACTCGAGGTGCTTCCGGTCTTTTGAAGCTGTGGGTACATGAGATGGATTTACCATCGAAACTGCTGATGTTTTTTTTGTTATTTTGTTATCTCTATGGAGCCCTTTTCATGAACTACCGATTTTCGGTTGAGATGGATACCCTCTGTTTCCGTGGACGATCTTCAAGCAATCTTGCGATAATTTTGAATAGTGCTGCATTTCTGCGAAGTGACTATGTCGAGAAATCACCTGATTGAGGTTATTACCTGTTCTAGCTTTGTCTTAATCTACCAGAATTTTATCCTCATGTTCATTGTTTTGTCTTATTCAGATTCGTCTGAGGAATTTGAAGGCCTGTTTCGAGTCCTTCCGCATCTGGCTATCCGGTAGAGCAGGTAGACAGTTGCTAATGCCAGCTGATACCATCGACAAAGGGTGTGTTAAAATGAACGTCCTGAGTGTTTTCTCGGTTTGAGGGTGGCTTTACCTCAACAGGAAAACCCCACCTGCTTTCACTAAAGCCCGGAACTGAAGAACTCGCAAAAGGATTCTGGTAAGCGTCTGAAACCTTGAGCTGATTCTAATTTCGGGAAGACCTGTGGTACAGATGCTTTTAGCAAGATTCCGCTTCAGCACACAATGCGAGTATGATCCGGGGATGGTGCCCCGAGCTTCATTCAATACTACGAATGCCCCTCTGATTCTCTAGACTTTGACCGACGGATTTCATTTTTGCTGGACCTTTTTTCAGATGAAATACTGCTTCACAAAGAGTTTTTTATTAAGCTTCGACCTAAACAGTGTTTTGCGGGTGTGGGTCAATTACCAGTAGTGGAATTATTGAAGAAGTTATGACGATTGTGAAAAAAATAACAAAAAGTTGCCAAGGTACACGCATAAGGGGCTGTCGTCAACGTGTTATTCAAACCAAGGAGATTGAGCACCTGTTTGGCCTAGGCGGAAGTCGAGCCGGGATTCAACCCCTAATCGTGAACGGGGTAAGCGGCATCACTTTGCTTTACACCACCTACGCCTAACAAGAGAGCTTCTTTCAGTATTCAAGTCAATAGTTGATCTATAACCAATGCCATTGATCATAAATTGCATAAACCTAACTACGCAAAGAATATTTTTTTTTTTTAGGAAGTGGCGATACCTTACCCTCGCAAAAGACACATTGCACAGCGGCGAACTGTACAAACTCAAAGAAGTGAAGGAGTCTGAAACGAAAAAATTACTAAACGAAGACACCTGAAGGGTATATTATGCCGTAGGACGAAATTGAGAACATTAAAAACCCAAGCAATCTAAAAATTTAAAAAATGTCACTGTGACCTCGGGCAAAATTTTTGCAAAAATAAAACAAAATTTCCAGCAAAAATAACCATTTGTGAAGGTGGTGCAGGAGGCGAATCGACGAACCATTTTGTGCAAAGCATGTGAAAGACCTGAAATTCTGGTGTTTATATACACCCAAGGCCATATTATTCATATTGTTTGTAAGTCCACTCTGAGGAAATCATGAAAAAAAAAACAAGTTAACAACCATTGAATCCGAATGCATTTGGAAAAAGAGGTACGAAAAGTGCTTTAAAAAACACATTTATGACAGCGATATTGTAAACCCATGAATTCATCACTAAAAAGGATAACCAGAGTATTTAAATCCATAATCAGCGAACCAGAACATTTAATCCAAAGTCATGAAAACTTAAAACCAACCACGTTCATGTTTTGACAGAAGCTGGCACCAGGAAACAGTAGTAGGTAATGGTACAGAGTTGAGCCGGCACTTGTGCAGAATTTCCTAACTCGTACTTGTTGTCCACTGCCGAAGACCGCCATTGAACAGGATTTGACGCCGCCAGGACAGGTTGTTTTCTGGAGATCAAAGCTGTTGTTGACAATAGTAATTGTATTATCTGAATGGAATGCCAAATTTTCCTCAGTTCAAGAGATCTCCCCAGAAAGGGCGACCTAATCACTCTCACGCAGCTTATGTTCTTTGCTGAAAGAATGGCTCAGTCTCGGAACCTTCCAGAATTTACCCTTTACCTCATCCTTAAGAACGCCGAGTCGGGTTTTTCACCGAAATTTGTCCACGACCAAGGATTTGACAAAAAATTTGATTAGAAACTTGCCTCCGGGGTATATCAATTCGTAAAGCACGAATGTGGCATCAGTTTAGTACGAAAATGTCCGGCGCAGGTGCTGCCACATTAGTTTTGCGCTGGCGAGCAGGCTACAAGCTTCGCTTCGACGAACTAATGTGATATTCATGTTTTACGAGGTTAAACCACCACTTATGGCAAGTTTCCAGCTAATTTTATGATGCAAAGTGTTCCGGCGCCCTTTAGCGCCCGCACTTGTGGCACGGGGACCAGACGTTTTCCGCAAAAGCAATGTGATATTCATGCTCTACGAGAATAATTCCCAAAGGCAACTTTCTAGCCAAATCCACTGCCACGGTCCAAATTCGGAAAATCCAGCTCCGGCATTTGAGAAGTGGGTCAGTAAAATTAAATACTGAGGAAACTCCTTCACAAGAAAAGTTACACAGCTCGCCAAAAAGTCTTAGACCCTTGATCAGTCTTACTGTGAAAATGACGTTTGGTGGGGCCTTCACTTATCCCTATTACAAGAGAACACTTCTTTGAGCTCTATAGCATCAAAAATGAGATAATTATTATACGTCAACGACTCATTTAAAATGTTCTTTCAATGAATAAGCGGCGAGTGTTCTACGTTCCTCACATCCTTCCTATCCATGTTCGTACTTCTTCATCGACCCTGGAGTTTCCCCAACAGCAAGCCTGGGCAGGCATGTCCATTACCCTGTTCAGGACCGGGTTTCTACGGACAGAAAGGTGGGGCCGAACGCGTTTCCCACATGCAATTGCGCCCACGCCATCTGATATCACTCTCAGAAAGTAATATGAGCTCATTAGCGGAAGTCATATCTGGAACGGTGGTGGCTAAAACCATCCGGATGAAGACAGCACTAAATGGTAAGACAATGTATGGAAAGGATCCAGAAGAGGTAAATATTCGACACTCCCATACTGCACCAACACCGGGACGGACTACGAAAAACTACGATCTGTTTTTTCTCACTGATCACCACTCTTAAATGGTTTCTGGCCACTCATCTCGTAGTATTGCTGGTCACGAAAAGTCACTACTGAATAAATTTTTTGAAAACAACTTTTTCTTAATCATATGTAATTCAAGTAGGATATATGTTCACTCATCATTTTACGTGTTGTCATACCTACACATCACAAACTCTTCAAAATAAATTTTTATGCTAATGTGAAATGTGCGAATCTACAAGTTCACAGAAACAGTAAGGTACTTCTGACTGGACAAAAGGGATTGAAATAGGATAAACGTGATTTATAACAAACGTCGAGTTAAGAAGGAGAAGTGGGAAGTCGTCAGTAGCAAGTGGCCACAGCTTAGGCACAGCACACTGTTAGAGGGGTCAAAATCCTGGAGTTGTTGGTCTCCGGGCAGACTGAGGCTTCTATCCCTTCAGTGCCGGTCCACTGGTAACCAAAAACTTGTCTGGTGTTTGAACAACACTGGCTTATTATGTTGAATTGAACGCACAAGTTCAGGTTCAGTCAAAATCGCACCAAATTTCACTTACGCACTCTGACGAATGAAGCGTGGGCGCATCCCAAAACGAACGGGACGGCGTTGAGGTCTTTATAGACTTGACTTATCAATTTTAACAATGTATCATTGAGGTTTCGTTTAGTATTCTCTGTAGATACAAACCATCGGTAGATCGAGATTTCATCACTTCTCAAGGGCCAATACAAAATAACCCACATGGTCTCCTAAGACCAAAAATTGACCACATTGAAAAGCTACCTCTGAATTCTCTCCTTGCTTCCTTATGGCGGGCAAAACACTTGTACATTAGGCCAAGTTAGCAGCAGATGTTGCGGTACTCGGTTCCAAATACAAGCTGCCGTGAACTGGAACAAACACCGTCTCCTGCTCTTCGATTGGGACCCGAATCGCTTCTGCTTATTAAGCGAAATGAATTTTTTTGTTGAGAGATACACGGTTTTACCTGATTTATGACACGTTTATTTATTTATGTTGCCCGCAACTCACCCGGAAATTGCTTAGAGCTTATTATAAAGCTTCTGCAGAAGTTACCTCATTTAGATAACTCATCAAAAGCCACCGAAATAATGTATTCATTTTCCTGTCTCTCGATATTTGTATTGGTGACCTATGGGTTCGCATTTGAATGTTACACCTGTAACCCGAAGAGGGAGACGTGGACTGCGTGAACGTACCGTATGATCATGATAGTTTATTCATCCTGTTCTACAAAACCAGGAATTAGTCTTCGATTAACAGAAAGGCGCGCACCTTTCGTCCCCTTATAATAGGGATGTCCGGACCAAGCAAATCCGAAATGCGCTATAATAAAAGGAATTTCAATTTTGCTTTGCTGATAGAACTACTTTACCAAGCGGACTTATGTTCGGTGGATGTATCAGGGCTTGAGGGGTACAGCATAGGATATGTTCAAGTGAACGAATCCTTCAGACGTGTTTGGTAGCTGTCCCTAAAGGTGTGGCCTGTTCCGTGCTCGCGGCGCTAGTTATGTACGCAGCAAGGGCCTAGAAGCCTGCAAAGCCTTTTCCGCACTTCATCATTTTTCGAAGCAGCACGCTTGCGTCTAGCTCCTCTTTTCTACGCGCTCAATCTACCTTAGCACAATCCTCAAAACTGATTGATTCCTTGACTTTAGCGCTTTCAATAAATTCATTCCACTTTCTTCAGTGCTGACCCACTTCGCACAAATGCCTTCGTTTTTCATGCGAAGAATATCACCAGTTAGACCGAGAGGTATGCCTCCGAATGAACATTTCCGGTCTCTAGAGGGTTGTTGACTGTAAGAAGTTGTTGTGCATTCACCTCGCCTAAATGAATTATAACTGTAAACATAGGTTAATCATGCGCAATGTTTCATGCAGAAACTTGATTTCAAGAAGAAACACTTGAACATCTCTGGAACATTAGAGTCAGTAGGGATTGTCAGAAAGTCGCATCAAATAGTATGTAGCCAAGACCGGATAGAGCAGCTTTGGGTAACTCCAGTAGGCCAGGGCTTTTTTCACAAAAATCTTCCCATTAAGCACACGCTCCATCTTCTGCAGATCATCCTCATCGCTCAACCGTGAACGTTGAGAATTTGTCTTCGATTATCTCGATGGAGCATCTTTTTGCCATTTTCTCGATACATACGCTAGCCTTTTGAGCATGAACGTGACGTATTTCGTAAAAGATGCTCGATAAGTAAAACTTATGAGCTGGAGTTCGGGGGCGGGGAACACCTCCATTGTACTCTGCAACATTGTCCGTTGTACTTTGCAACATTGACAATGAGAAGAATAAAGGAAGGGGTAAGGGTGAAGCTGAAGCTGTAGATAAGATAAAAGAGTCTCATGACGCGTAATCTATCATTTTAAAGGAGGATTGCACGGAAAGAACGAAGGTCGAAGAAGGGAGAAATCGCCTAGTGGGGAGAGCGGTGAATCTCTTGAGGGTGCGGACAGACACGCAATCGGCATCGAAATTTGACCTCTGAGATCTAGCATGGCTCAAAGTTGGCGAGTTCGGCGATCTCCGCCCACCGATCGTCTGATCACTCGCCGTAGTACAATAGGTGGCGAGTGATTAGATAGCTGAGAGAGCGTAGGGTTGAAGAGGGCAAAGCGATGAGAGTCCCATCAATGCTCAAATCAACGGACAAGGAAGGGGTCCCATTTCTCCGGTTCTGGGCCGTTTTTCGTGGTTTCGCTTTCTTTCTGGTACTACTCACCATCTCTACCTCAATTTGGAATGGGTTGCTTTTCCATCGTAAATTCGTCCTTTAAAGTAATAAAGTTAACCGGTGTAGCTGGCCA